TAGCACAAAAAATGCTTGGTTATTATTTGACTCAGACAAAACTATGGTGAGGATATTTTTTTGTTTGGTTTGTTTTTTTCTTTTTTCTGTCTCACAAAAACCAAGTGTTCTCCAGCAATGAGGCAGCGGAAAAAATCAATACTTGCCATGTACCATGTAACCAATAGAATAAGGGGAATGATTTATGTATGGATGGTTGCAGCCTGAATCAGCTGGGGCCTCGTACAGAGAGCAAGAGAAAGAGAGGAGAAGAGACGGAAAGAGAGAGAAAGGGAGAGGAAGGTGAGGCAAGCTCAGCTGCAGAGATTATTTTTAAAGTATGGCCAGATTTTCTCTCTCTCTTTTTTCCTCCCTGCTGCAGCAATAATGCCCATCTCCGGCTCTGCAGAGCATGGGAAAGCCTGCAATTTGTGGAATATATGATGGCTCAGCTTTCCCCTCCTTGCCTCAGAGTCCTGATGCCATGTTCACATGAAGGTGCGCCGAGAAGGGGGAATGATGCGTGGCCTGCAGCCCTTCTGCCGTCCAGTCATCTCCACCCTACGTAAGGCCAGTGATGGGTTGACAAGCACTAGTTGACAGAGAGTCAGGTCATCAACAGGATTTTACACACACACACACACACACACACACACACACACACACACAGCACCGGTTCCTGAGGAGACCAGCGGCAAGGGCTTGCACAAGGGCTTGCACAGGAAAACTACTCTATACCTCATGAATTCCTGCTGGAAATATAGTTTGGTTAACTGGAAATCCAGGGAGCTACGGCACTTAAAGGTATTTAATTCTCAAGGTAACTTTTAGAGGGCTGATCCCCTCGCTGAGAGCTGAGCTATGAAGTGTAGTTTGGAGCTGGCAGCGGGAGGCCCTACCTCACAGCTGGGGATGTGTCCTATTGTATGCTGAATTCAGTTTCGACTTTACGCCAGGTTCATTTTCTGCTTTAAGGTACTACTGAAAATGTATTTTTAAATGAAAAAATAATTTTTCCCAACTCCTACTTTCTGCATCAAACTCAGAACGAACCATGTAAAATGTTAGGAGAGGCAGATTTGGTCATTTGTTTGGAATATATTTATTATAAAGTTGTATTTACATAAATCTACATTCATTTTTCTGGGTTGTTCTCTTTTTATATTGTATGTGAAAATGTAAGAAGCTTGGCAGAACTCTGTTTTCATCAGTCCATGGAAAGGCTGGCTTGTGCCCTTCTCAGAAGGAAATTGATAATAAATAAATGTTACTGCTTTTATGTCCTTTAACTCAGACATAGTACTACTGTCAAAGTTGGGTAGTCTTATACAGTATCCTGTATTCTGTATGTGGTTCGCCGCTCCACACAAAATACACAGGAAGGAATTTCAGACAGCAAATGTATCAGAATAACATCATGTTGTTAAGACTTGCTTAATTTCGAGTCAGTATTGTTAGCATTTACTCTCTGGAAAGACGATGTCTTTAGTTGACAAATATATTAATATAAACTCTCTTGATAAAATATCATTAATTTAAAATTAGGTATACTTAAATGATACAAATTATCTTTAATTCTAATATTAAAATCCCATGCTATTTTAAATATATACATTCACAGTATATTAGATGACAATTTTAGTGATTTTCTACATGTATATTATTAACTAATTTTTCTTTGACTTATACATGTAATAATATGTATTCCTGTTTATACTGCAGAGATGTATGTTTAGCTAGTAGCTGGGTTTGCATGCATAGGACACAGGATTGGAAATAAAGAGCAGATATTTAGAGAGCTGTAAGAACTATTTTCAGTGAAGACAGGTCCTAACCTTTTAAGTGACTGTTAATATTTAATACCATTTTGCAGATGTCACTGAAGATATTTAAGTTTTAACTTTATTATTATAAATGATCTACCCTACTTATGAAATTCTTTGGAGAAGATATCTATTCAAACTAAGTAAGTACATCTAATTTCTCTCCTCCAAGTAAAATTTGGAACAACAACAACAAACCCATAGTACAGGAGTAAGCACACAGACTATCTTTCGGTAGTTAGAATCATGACGGCTTCCTGAGGCCAGCAGAAGTGAGCCTGCCCTAAGAGCATTTTACTACTGAACTTCATCATCATAGCTGCCACTTCTCTTGCCCCAAACAGGTAAAAACAACAGGACCCGCCACTGACTTTCCTTTTGAGTCTTTGGCCTCAGCCTTGCCGCCTGGGTGAGGGCTGGTAATGAGAAGACCCGGAGACAGTCCAAATGGAATGGACTCTGTGACGCTCACCGCCATGGAGCCTCAGCAGGAAGAAGTATTCTCAGCACGCCACCAGCAGGTAGGTACTTACCAGAAAACTAACCGGAAATTTACAAGAACCCTTACCAGCAAGGTGGTGCTGAAATGGAAGGAAAGCATGTCCAGTTTAACAGAGATGTGTTACTGCCACTTATGGAAAACTGTCATCTGTCACGGAGAGAAAGTCAGAGAGCCTGCCAATGGTGGCAGAGTGCTTAATGAGTCCAGCCAGATCTAGACTGTCCTTTGAAATGGGCCCTATAGACACAGGGGTAGAATAAGCAGACAGAATGCCGCCCTCACAATAGGAAGAACACACAAGTACTAACTACAGATCGCTAAGCAGCCCAAGAACTGGATTTCCTCACAGCTAACAGGGTCTCAATGAAAGTCAGATTGGCTAAAAGTTTGTATGCTTTTTAGACAACTTTTCTGCATTCTAATGAAAGCTAGTCCTTCTTTCCCCCAACATAAGATTAATTTCCTATAAACATCTAGCCTCGAGACTCACAAGTGAAACTCAGCATCTTATCCTGTGGCACAAAAGCAAATATTTCCGTAAGCAAGGGTCTTCAGCAAACACCTACTATGCTTTATTTGCCTTTATCCTTGGTTAAAATTTCACTGATGAGATGCCCATTAACGAGAAAAATCAATATCCTGAGCTTAGCTGCCTGCTTTGTTTTAATACCACAAATTATTTTGAAACCAATTAGATAAATAGCTATTTAGCAAGTATAAGAAATGAGTTTTGTTTGATTATTCTAACACCCAGGAAAACAAGATAAGCCATTATCTGGTTCCTCTGTCTTAATAATCAGTTATTCCATTTAATAGGAATGAATGAAGAAACTGACTTTAGAAGTTGTAATTTTAAGTCTAATTTCATGGCTGCATCAGAAATAAGGCTGAAGGCATTCTAATGTTAAAAACAAAAACAGTATTAGCTCTAAAGAAGAGATAAATTGCTCAGACATGAGAGGTAACTAGCAAGCTTCCCAGGAAAGAACTGTTTCTTGCTCATTCCATTTCTTTTCTTGTTGTTTTTGTTGTTTTCTCTCCAATTAGCTTGGAGCAGGCAGAACATCTTGAATTAGCCAGTTCAATCTGAGCATAACTGGATGGCAAATTTCTATTTTCAAATCTAACCTGGTTCACTCAAACCACACAGAGCTTGCACCCCATTTAGCAGAAAAGCTAAACAAAGGCATGCTGCGATCCATATCTGCTCACTGTCACACTCTTAAAGCATGACCACCTGGATATCCAGATCTTGCCAAGCCACAAAGGCACAGAAACACTCTCCTGAAAAGCTAAAAAGACAGATGCTGAAGCCACACCTCAGCTGGCGCGCCTGCTGGAATGGGCTTCCTTGGTCCATGTCCTGGCTCTTCACATTTGCATCTTTATAGATTATGGGAATATATAGATCTCTCACAGAGCTGTCCAATTCTGGCCACAGTCTCAAATGGTTTTACTGTATGGGCTGTCTTGTTTATTCAAGCAGATTTTTTTGTTTTGTTTTGTTTAAGATCTAAATGAGAGCACAACCTCTCTTTACATGCCCAGGGAATGATCCAAAAGATGGGAGGCCTCTAATAAAACAATTAATTGTGATAAATTTCTGAATTTTACTCCTTCATCCAGGGCTATTTCCATGGCAACACCCTCTCCTCCTATTGTTGGGTTGTTGCTCACTCACACAGCAGGTTAAGCCCAGGGCAGCCAGGGCAGGCTGATGGTCAGCTTTTATTTTCTCTGGCCCTTCACCAAAGGTTAGTTGAGGTCACCAGAAGCCAAAGGGTAATTACTTTTTCTCCTCAGGGTTAAAGGTACACAGATTGCTATTGGGACAACTGTATGGATGACCTTCAGCTTTTAATGTTCAATCTTCTCTGCTTTCATTAGACACATAAGTATGACACTGCAATCATGATTCCTCATGCCTAAAATTCAGAGTAGGAAGCCAAATGTCCCTTCTGAAGCTAACAGACATTAACATAAAATGTCCTTGCAATCAATTTGGAAAACCCAATGCATGGAAGGTTTTCTATCTTTTGAAAAAAAGAATAGAAAAAAATCATGGAAGAAAGTTACAGGGATACCAGTTTTTCCTCCTCTGTTAATTTGATGTTCATGATATTCCATGCTGTAGTCATTTTCCTAAGGGTATGTTAAGGCTCAGAAATATAAGCTTTCTTTCTCTATTGGGAGCCCCGTTCTTCTTTTTTAAACACTGATATTTCCCCCCCCTGGTGAACTAAGAATAAATCAGATTAAAAGAGTTTTCTCTGGTCTCTTCTTAATTCTTAAAGAAAATCATTCTTTAAAATAATTGGGAAAGGGGTGTTTTCTCAGACTTAAATCTCGAAACATCTTGCCCCTCTTATATGAAAAGCCACTTTTAGGTGAAAGTTCTATATATTTTAACTAAAATCTCAGATAAATGATTTCCATAGATTCCAAAAGTGGAGACAAATGTCAGATAGAATGTGTTTGTCATTTCTCAACCATCTAAAAGAATATTTCCAGGTCCCCGGCCATGCTACGTTACTGCTCCTTCTAGGAGACAGGCCCAGGGTCACCGGAAATGGGCTCTTGATCCAAAGTCTTAGTGGAAAGGGACCATCTAAGAAGCATCCAGAGATCTGAGAGCACACTCTCCCTTCATCTGGAGAGAGGGCAAACATTGCTGCTGCCCATTTTCTCAGGCTCACCTGGTGAGTTGAGAGCTCATGATTTTCCCCTAAGCCTCTTTCTCCAGTGATCAGGCTTGTCCTTGATCTCTCCATATCTTCATCTGAAGTTGTCTCTCTGCTCAGAAACCTGCTAGGAAAGCCTGAGATGCACCTTCCAAGGCTGCCAGACTAGAGTGCTTCATCAGTTCTGCCTCTGTCTTGGCCCATGTGTCCTCAACTCCCTGACTCAGCTACTCTGCCTTGCCAAACAGACTTCACGTGCTCTGTGTGTGGCTTTCCCCTCTCCCAGCTGTGGCTATTCCCAGTAAACAGCAACTCTCTCTTAGGGATGCTCACCCTTTAAAAGAGTGGGTTATAATTTAGTTCACTTAGGAATAGCTCCATGTTTTTCTCTGTGCTATGGTGCATCTGAACCAATTCAATGAACGCACTGTACCTAAGAAGACTAGTATCATGCACATAGTTATATATCAGTGCTCTGGGAAGTTCACCTCAGTTATCTGAAACTCATAAAATAGAAGCTTTTAATCACAGTGCTTTAAATCACTCTCATCTGCAAAATCATTGACTTCTTAAAGAATATGTTTTTTATTAGGACTTCTTGCATAGTTGTCCTTGATAGTAATCTTGGAAATCTTTCCTTTTCTCATTTAACTTTCTCTTGTTCCCTTCTATAGTTCTGTAAAGTCTTTGTAATTATCACTCTCAAAAGCAAAACATTTTGGTATCATCATACTCCAGGCCCCCAAACTCCTCTCCTTCCTACTATCAGTGACCAACAACTAACTATTGCCACAGGTAGTCATAGCTAAGGGAAAAACAAAAAGCTAATCATGGCCACACCCGAAGATGTCATTTTAGAAGCAAGTCTTGAGTCTTCAAGGCCCATAGAGTTGCATAGTAAAGGATGTAGGTGCTGGGTGTGACATTTAGAAAGCTGGATAAGATCCAACTAGGCAAATGTTACCACCTAGTATGTTACCTGGTTAAAAATTACCCAGTGAAGGAAGAAAGAGGAAGGCTAGCGTCACTCAAGGCTAGTTGTCAGCAGTGACTGATTTGGAAAAGAAAAGCTCTTTGCTCAGTTATACACCAGAGACACAGCAGCAGTGTGTTCTCTGCCCAGGGTCATTTGACGTCATTGATGTGAGATTTGGGGCTTGAGGAAGTGAGATGGCCTCAAGGAAGGTAAACATTTTTGATATAATTTTTTTATTTTTATATTAATTACAGTTTATTTACTTTGTGTCTCAGCTGTAGCCCCCTTCCTCATTTCCTTCCAATCTCACCCTCCCTCCCTCATCTTCTCCTTGCCCCTTTCTAAGTCCACTTATAGGGGAGGTCCTCCTCTCCTTCCATCTGACCCAAGCTTATCAGGTCTCACCAGGACTGGCTGCAATGTCCTCCTCCATGGTCTAGCTAAGCTGCTCCTCCCACAGAGGGCTGGGGAGGTCAAAGAGCTAGCCATAGAGTTCATGCCAGAGACAGTCCCTGTTCCCCTTACTAGGGAAGCCACTTGGATACTGAGCTGCCATGGGCTATGTCCGAGCAGGGGTTCTAGGTTATATCCATGCATAGTCCCTGGTTGGAGAATAAGTCTCAGACAAGCCCCTGTGCCCAAATATATTTGGTCCTTGTGGAGCTCCTGTTCTCTCCAGGTCTTACTAACTCTCTTCTCTCATATGATTCCCTGCACTCTGCCCAAAGTTTGATTGTGAGTCTCAGCATCTGTTTTGATACACTGCTATGTGGAGTCTTTCAGAGACCCTCTATGGTAGGCTCCTATCCTGCTTCTCATTTTCTTCTACTAAGGAAGGTAAACTTTAAGACAACTATGTTCCCTTTCTGCATACTTTCCCACCTTCCTTAAGGATCTCCAATCTGCACTCCATCACTCCCACCCTGTTATGCAATACTGCACCTCATATTGAGGTTTTGAAGTCAATAGGGCAAATCTGCCCTCATCCAGTTCATAAAGATGCCTGGTTGGCATATTTACCTAAAAGCTAAATATATCCAACAGCATCCCTGGGGTTTTGTGAGGGAGATCCTTGGGAACATCACCTTCTTGAATACTGTGGGATGTTTTCCTCTTTTTGTGGCAGAAATAGTTCTGGCCTGTGATCCCTCAGATTTCCATGGACACACACAAGGCTGTCTCCTCTGGAACCTGGGAGTGATTGAGTAGTTCCAGAAACTGATAGAGAAGCAGCATGGTTAGGGCACCAGGCTCTGGTGCCAAGTGAATGATGAGTGTTCAGTGCCCAGTTTCTCAAGGTGAGGTGATGTCCTCAGGCGTGGAGCACTACCAGGGCCAAACTGAGCTGACTTGGGAAGAAAACCTGGGGCTGGCACATGATGATTCTAGCAAACGCACCAAGTGCAGCTCTCCCAGCCTCAGCTTAACTACGCCGCTGATTCAGAAGCACCGTGAATAGTGAATATGTTTCTAACACCTGCGAGGGGTTTTGGCAGTAAAGCACACTGGGCAGTGACTTTCATAGTAATATATCGATTCATACCTACCTCTAAAATGGGCCAGCACCGTTCCCTTTGCTAAATATTTTCTTACCTTTTCAGAAAAATGTGTGTTTTCTCGGTACCAATTTGTCTCCCTCCTGGTGTTTTACCTTGTTTTGACCCAGAACTGTGGTTTGTGTGAAACATGTAGAGCCCTTCCCATGTTTACTCAGCCACAGACTACGCTGCTGCTTTCCCACTGGAGAGGGGAACTTGTCTTGCACGTCACCTAGCCTCTATATCCAAAGAAGCAGTTTCCATACCACATTTCTCTGCCAATTGTTACCTGACCTCGTGTCTTCTCTGACCATAAATAAGCTCACAGGTTGCTAAAACACATAAGGAGACATCATTTCTTTTATGGAAAGCTTGTGCTATTAGGAGGCACAGTGGTACAATGGTGAAGTACACAGATCCTAGGGACAGACAGACAAGCATATAGACAGATGACTTGCTAGATTCAGGTATAACACACAGACACACAGCACAGAGACATACACACATACATTCTCTCCCCATTCCTCCCCAGGCTGTGGCCAGCACCAAAGTCCTACTTTGCACTTTAAACTTCAGACTCAGAAGTTCCTTGAAGACTGTATTACAGCTTTGAGTCTCTGAACAGAGTGTCAAATGCCACGGCTCCACGTCTTACTCAAAGAGGTTCAAAACAGGCACTTTCACGGGTGGTTCCCAGGTGGTAGGAGTTCACACACTGATGAATTTTTAATAGTAAAACTTAAACTTAAAAAATGACAACAGCTTGTTTTCCCTTGTAAAGAGGCTTTGGTTTTAGAGATTCAAGTATCAGGGTTTTTTTTTTAACTATTATTTATTAAAAGTCAGAGTATTCAAGAAAAGGCATTTAATTATTAAGGTGCAGAAACACAAAGCAGAGGGGGAAGAGCTTCTTGCGCACTCATGTGTAAATGTATATACAGGTATGCACAGGCATGCACACGCGTGCACACACACACACACACCACACACACAGAGAGGCAGAGAGTATAATCTCAGTTATGATTTTACCATTAAAGAGCAAGATGTTACCCGGCGAAGCCAAGTATCCACAAATGTGCATGATAGCCCCCATTCTCCTGCAGCTGACATCTCTGCCCCCTCCAACACCTTCCTTCCCTGCCGTGGCATGGATGAGCACAGCCTCCTTCAGGTCTTGAAACCCTGGCTACTTGCTGTCTTTAGCCTCTGCCAGGTTAGAAGGGAAAAGCTCTCACTGGAGTCCCTTGCCGGGGTGTGCAGAGTTCTCACATCCTGTCTGAGGCAGAATTCATTGTCCCTCCCAGGAGCCTGGATACAGGCTCTTCCGTGTTGCCCCCTGCTGTTCCGTGTATTCCCAACCTCCCAACATCCCTCACCTCAGCTGACTAAACATCCGGCAGATAAATGCCAGTGCACCAACAGGCTGCCAGCAGCAGAATTTTCTTCACTGTTACAAGCTGAACTCTCTTTTGTTTTCTGTCAATCAGTGACCCTTACTGAGTCCCTATCAGTTGTGCTAGGTGGGTGGAATGGAAGCATGAAGAAAGGTAAAGTCTATTCTCAAGGCAATCGTCTACAATTTCTTTCTTTCTGGAGGCATAGAGAACCCTGTGTAATTTTCAGTGTGCCAGAGACCCAAACCTGCAGGTGAGACAGATATATGTGCCTCAGGCAGGTGATAAAAAGCAAACACAGACAACGGAACTGATGTAGAGTGAAGCGCTCTCAGGGATCTTTGCAGCTTGTAATCTGCATGCAAGGACATGTTTTATACATGTATGTCCTCCTGAGGCTCTCCATAGTCTTTCGTTGATGTGACCTCTCTCTCAGAGACTCTTGGTAAATGTGTGTATACCATCTCTCATTCAAAACTTTTCAACAACAGTAAATCATTTTCACTACTTCAAGAGAAGGCAGAGAAAAGGAGTAGGAAGATACCACCAGAGAAGGCCATCAGACACACTCCCGCTTGTCCCTGCCACCAAAGCGAATAATGCCTGGAGCAAATCAGCTTGCCCTTCCAGACCTCTGCCTTCTCTTCAGAAAAACAAGTCAGTTGAAGTAGCTCCGGCAGTGCGTGTGGTACCCCTGCACTTCTTCTCGGCCTTTGCACTTGTCTGAGTCCTTGTAATCACGAGGACTCTATGAAATACCAAGAGTCTTAGCCCATTTCATAGAAAAGGAAACAGAGACACAGAGCAGTAAAACAGATTTTTCTTTTTTAAGGTTTATTTCTTTAATTATGTATACAATGTTCTGTCTGCATATACACCTACACGCCAGCAGAGAGCACCAGATCTCATTAGAGATGGTTGTGAGCCAACATGTGGTTGCTGGGAATTGAACTCAGGACCTCTGGAAGAGTAGCCAGTGCTCTTAAGCTCTGAGCCATCTCTCCAGCCCCCACTGTTTCAAGTTCTATGACAAGCAAGCAGCAGAGAGTTAGAACTCACCCATTCTCTTTCCAGTGCCTCCTCTCTTGAGCACTAAGATGGGCCATCTTCCAGTAGATGAAATTTAGATGGCACCGAAGACCCCCTTGCAGTTTGTTTTACTCAGACCTGGAAGTGTACAATGATTGCTGATGGCTCATGTGACATGTACTTTAACAAAGAGCTTGTAGAAAGAGAAGTACAAATCAAGTCTGCATCATCCTGATACTAAAGAC